TGCCCTTCCTTCCTGTAACTATCAGTGTGCAGCGGCGTGTAGGGCAGTTCCTCCTTGTTGTATTGGTTTGTAGGGGCATATAGATAGAATTGTCGGTTTGAAGGTTTTTAGGGCAAATTCCTCTCGAGATATCGGTCTGTGTGCAGCCCGTGGGGTAGTCTTTCAAGGTGACGGTGTAAGCAGCCCTAAGGTTCTTTTTCAACATACTGGTTTGGGAAGCTCATAGGACAGTTTTTTTTTGGAAAATATCCTTTTTGGAACATCTGGGTTCGTAGGCAGCCCATAGAACAGTTATTTCTCAGATAATGGCCTGTAAGCAGCCCATACGGCTTCCTTGCAGTATTTGTTTGTAGGGGAACCCGTATGGTAGAATTTACCCCGAAATATATTGTAGGGATTCGATGGCAGTATTTGCTCAGATACCACTCTGTAGGCGGTCCGTAGGAAAGCTTTTCTCTTGAAATATCGTTCTGTATTCGCTCTGTAGGAGTTCGTGGAGCAGCTTTTCCTTACAAAAGGCTGTAGGCGATACATAGGGCATGAGAAAACAATGATTGATTTCGCTGCCGGAATTTTTCGATAATTGAGGCATTTCTTGAGTGTTAAAGGCACCGTCCACCCAGATTTTTGACTTCCACGTTTTTGTCGTTTCAGGGCCTTCTAATGTTCCTGATTCCGAATATGAAGTCGAGAATGCTCGAAAACCCCGACAATCCCCGTTCCGGAGAACCCACAGGCTGGCTTTCCAGAATGGTGATTGGTGGGCGCGCACAAATGTGCGGGCATGGATGGGGGAGGGCGGGCATGGAGGGGGGGGGGGGGTCCTCGTGCATCTGGAGGGGGGTCCTCGTGCATCTTCGCTATTCCGAAGCGATTTTCTCGCTTCCGAAGTGGCATTTTGCGCCGCGACTTGGGCATTGGATTGATAGAGGGCCCTACTATTATATGCTGCCAAAAGCTCAACACCCGCAACTTAAAGGCAGCGTCCGGGCAAAAAGTCGATTTTGAGATTTTGTGCTTACCCGGGCCTATTCGCTATGCTGAATCCGAAAATCACCACTAGAGAGCGCGAAAACGGCGAAAAAGGGGTCTAACGCAGGAGGAAAATCAGCAGGGGCGGAGCGTCTGAGAGAGTGGACTTTCGCTCCCAGCTTCCGGAGCTATCTCCTCGGTTCCTTTAGTCGCCGTAACATCGCTACCGGCCAAGTACAAACGAGTGATTTGAGATCGGAACCGAGAAGATTGCTCCGGAAGCTGGAAGCGAGAATCCACCCTCTCGGACGCTCCGCCCCCTGCTGATTTTCCTCCTGCGTTAGACCCACTTTTCGCCGTTTTCGCGCTCTCTAGTGGTGATTTTCGGATTCAGCATGGCGAATAGGCCCGGGTAAGCACAAAATCTCAAAATCGACTTTTTGCCCGGACGCTGCCTTTAAGGTGGACGGTGCCTTTAAGCTGAGTGTAGACATCGGTCATTTTACTGCTCTTAAGATGATAGTTAGTGGAAATTAGTAAAGAAAGTTGTCCCAAAAATTTTGGGAGTTAAAAGCTACCGATAAATCAATATCATCGAAACGCGCAAAATATATCGATAAGGTAGCACAAGAAAAAGCATGGCTTTGGAAAAAGGTATTTTGTTTTATGATGATACTCATTAAAACCTGACAGAATTCCAACTTGATGAGCCCTTGAAAACGTTATCTTTGTAAACGGCGTAGAGAAAGGAGTTCTTCTATTTCTTCATATATCTCTGTAAAGATGAGATTTGGGTAAGAAGGCGTAGTATTCGAAAAAACATCTTCCCAAAACCTTGCAAAGTGGTGACAGAACTCTTAAGACATGTTGAACGCTTATAGTCCTTCGCTTTCTGCCAGACACCCTGATGGAAGAGGGATTTCAAAGATAGCTTTCAGAAAATGCATAAGTAGAGGTACCTGTGGTGACAACTACACGGCTAATAATGTAGTTGCACCCAACCACATGCAAGCGGCCCAGCTATTCTTCCTCTTTATTACTGTCATGCCCATGTGCTGGCTATTTTCATGGTCACTGAAATAATCGCCGAAATTTCGAACCCATGGTTTTTACCATGTCCAACTTTGGCCATTTCTCACAATCTCCTTCTTTGACTTTTGGAAAAGTTTAGCAGCCAGAGAGAGTAAACAAAGTGCAATGTAATGCAAATTTTCGGCATCTATGGCTAGCCTTGAATTTTTTTAGAATATTTTTTGATGCTATCAAATTTTACTTTTGGTGATGCGAAAAGCCACAGAACAACGGCGCACAACTAAGGTGTCATTTGATACACTTTTTTCTCCTCTTTCTAATGAGTTTTTTCTTCCCAGTTCATGGGGTTTTTGGCACAGAATTATAGAACTCAAAACGCATGGGGCTACCGTACCAAAAAGACGTCAAAGTAAATCGGCGTCCGTAGGTGCACCATAATTCGAATTTGACTTCATTCAAGGCCTAATTTCCAGCGTTCTGATATAGAATTCCCGAGATAGCTAGGGAAAACTATTGCAATACAGTGTACGGGTCACCCTTTGTTATTTTTGCACTCCTAGCTCCAATTCGAAACAGCTTTTCGTGATCTCTTACCAGACATTCGATAATGTGAAAGACTTTAGTGAGAAACAACGTCGATAATAAAGACTTTTTTGATTACATTACAGTGCATTTTTCTTTTTGACTGCAAAGTTCACAGAGTTTGTATTGACAAGGGTATGGGATGGTGGCCATCTTGGTTGTTCTATTTGGCGAACATAGCGGACAAAATCTCGGGCCTGAATAGGGAGATCAACGGAGCTTACAGAGCACGGCACCTAAGTACTCATTGTTCTATCGTTCATTCTACGACTAGGATACGCGAGACCGCATTGCACACATTGTCTAAACAATCCTAATCGTGTACTTAGCGGGTTATACTTGATATTTATCTTGTCCAAGTAAATTCACTCTCTGGAAACAGGGAAGAACAAACTCAAACTTGTTAAGACAATGTCCGCAATGTGGTCTCGCATCTCCTAGTCATAGAATAGATGATAAATCCTGCTCATCCCCTTTTCTGTCGGGTAATCTTGTTTGCCTTCTGATTAGACAAATTCCATTATAAGTCAAACGAAATCCACATTACCAAGCACTACAGCAGCATCACCATGCGTTCTGAATACCCTTTTGGTTTTATTTGGAGAACTCTACTGGAGAGGCTCGGATTCCGCCTCGCCTGGACCATGTGTCGCGGTCGTGAACGTGTCGCATGACCATTTCACCACGCTTGAGCGTGAGAAGAGTTCAAAAGCGAGCTTTAGTGTCAATGAGGTGTGAGAAAATGGTCATAAAATACGTTTGCGAACACGATGCAAGCCCAAGCGAGGCGGCCGCGCAGGATCCGAGTGGTTGAAATCCAGCTTACTTCAAATGAGACAGGAGGTATGGTGCAAAACCCAAATCTACTCTTTCTTCCATGTTGGAAATGTACTCTAGCAAAAATCATGGCCGTTATGGCAGCATTTTTTATATCACAATCAAGAATTCGTTTGTAAGTCCAGATATGCTGAAGTGTGGATTGCTTGAGATGCGGCTACACATACCCACTCTTGAATTGGAGCGTGCGGCTCACACGGACTAGTTTTTGACTTGCAGTCTTCATGGGAGTGGTCATGGCTTGCCAGTTAGGTAAAGGTCAATTCTTGTAGATACTGTTCGCATTTGATCGTAACTCCTAAACTCCTGCTGAGAATTTAGCGAGCTGGATCAGATTCGGATCACAGAATATGTATTGTAGCATCTTTACTACGTACACTCTACGAAAACATTACCAACACAAGCAAACGTAGCGAGACAAGAAAAGTCCCATGTTGTAACAGCTATCAGCGAGTCAAACAAGGGTTCCCACACTTGTTTTCCGTCGTTTATAATGTTTTGCCTTCCTTGCTATTTCGGCTGCTGTTTTGACATTTCCCACCTTTTTGAATCGAATTACTGCGTGCAAAAAAAACATAACTCGTTTCCGAATTCATAGATCAGCGCTAAGAGCCTGATTTTCACAGTCAATTGAAGCGCATGCAAAAATGAGAGCAATGAACGCTAAGCAGAGCAGGGACACAACTCCGGAAATTAGGCGTCGAATGAAGTCAAATTTGAATTATGGTGCACACAAGACCACCGAATTACTTTGACGCCTAATTTCCCGCTTACGGTAGCCCCGGTGCTTTCCGAGTTCTATAATTCTGTGTTTTTGGCAATAATTTCCTAATTATTGATTTTGAACCCGCCTAAAGGAACGCACGTGAAATGCGAAAGCTTATATTTCAAATCGATAAACGCTCAGTTACTTTGTAAAAATATTGGGCAATCATAACCAATTTTTAAAAGTTTCGAATTTCGAAGATCTGTTAATGTTCTGAGCGTTTGTGTATTTTGTGACTTCGAAAAAGTGAAGACTTCTGGTAAAGCTATTTTAAAACACTGAGAAACCGGTTGAAATTGCCAAAAAATTGCATTGCATTGCACTTTGTTTACTGACACTGCCTCCAACAATGCCTCTCATCAAATGTGAGAATGAAGAAGCCTACAAATAAAGCCAGCAAACTCTTGTGAATTTGTATATATGTGTTCGTGCCGGAATGATAGAAGCTCTTCTCCAAGGTTTTAGCTCAAGAAGAAACAATTCACATTGACATGTACAAAATGGGGAAGATATGACGAAAACTTCACAAAATCCCATCATTTGCACGATGTCTGGACGTTGGAACACAACGTGGGCTGAAGGTTCCGATCTGGAATTGGCCATGTCGGACACAGAAGTCCCGATCCTCGACAGGTAAGGCTCTGCTGCCCGAGGCTATGCGACCCAAAATTTCATAAATCCCGGGATGGGCGCTCTTGCCTTTTCGAACACTCGTTTATAAAGGCAGAACAGCGCCCAAAAAGCGAGAGATTGGTAAATGTCACCCAGATGTAAACTGCGAGTTTAGGTTATGAAGATGACAAAGGCTAACCGATTCCCATTCTTTCATTCTTTCAGCTGCTTCCGTTTCTGCAGTAGAACGATTTCTCTTCTCATCATCCAAGAAACGTCGAATACCCGACAAAGCAGTGATCAACTCCTTCCTAGAAACAATGAAGAGTGTTCCACAGATATTATCCTTAGGGGAACATGTGATGCTGACCTTTCACTATTAACTGCATGAAAGTTTTCCTTCAGCTGCTCCATTTCTGCTTCGGTCACCTGAAAATTATATACAGAAGTGTTCCGAAGTCAGCCTTTGACTGTTTTAGCCCCATGGGTGGAAGTTAGCAACGTCAGACAAGACATGACCATCCGAGCTGTCAATTACATTGTCAATTATCCCAAACTTGGTCTACACCCTCTGATCTCGGAAACGATTACAGCGACTGCGCATGTCTGCGTTGCATGGATGTCGCGTTAGAATCAAGCTAGCAACGCTGAAAGATGTGTAGGCTAGAGCTTCAAGCTAGCTGACCTATTTTGAAATCTGGAAGAAGCAATGGACAGCAGTCGCAAAATCAGCGCATGTGACTTTGAGTGCACCTTCATAAGGATAAAAATCACAGCTGCCAAGTAATAGTGATGTTTGAGCAAATACAGGTTCAGCACATCCGACTATAAAGATACCCAGGTTGACCCAACCAATCCGTATGAGTCGTTTACCACTATGGTGCAATTGGAATGCTGATTCGAGTCCTTTCATTTAGCTGCGTGACAGAAGTTTTGGAGGGAAATTCCTCGCGGTAAAGGGCCGCGCATGTCATTGATGCAGAGCAGTTGTGCAAGCTGCCAAAGTGGTGAGCACATGCTTCGGTCGAAGTGTCGCTGAGTCGCTGACCATACGTGTGAACAAATGAGCGTAAGGCTTTGGTAAACCGCGACGTTTTTTTTTTTCAGGGTTTTTCAAAAAAGTGATTGAACCATTAACGCTTGAAGAGCTCGTAAAAGGTTGTCTTACGGAATCAGCACGTCTGAAAACTGTACACAACTTTCCAGTTGTTTTGGAACTTCTATGAAACGGCCTATTGTACAATGGCGTTGTATGCTGGAAGTATAACGTACTCTACAATAAAGAAGAGTGGGGTGATTCCCTTCATACTGAAAGGTGAAAGGTTGAAGCGTGCCCTACTGAATGTAAGAAGCAGAAGATGTGGGAAGAGAATTATTAACGATTGGAAAGTGGGAACATTTGGGACCCCTGTGTTTCGGGAGAGATTAGCCCTCTTACCTTCTGTTGCTTGATCCTACCAAACAGCCTTCGATTTCTATTAGCATGAAGAAGACGACAACTTCGCTCATATAGCAGGTGCTGGTTGACGAGGCGAAGTCGAGCACGCAGAATATCTCGCTGAAAAGTGTGTCTAAACGCCAAAATTAAAAAGTGTTTCATTTGATACTAGTACTCACAACATCACCTTAATATCAGCAAAATAACGTACTTGTTTTTCCATCTGAAGTCCAGCGGTTATATGGATCATATCGTCATAGATTCGACCGGGAAGACGATCAGCCAGTCCCATCTCTCTAAGACAGTAGTGAAATTCCTGCAACACCAGTAAGAAGTGATTTGTTGTAACGATAATTATTGCATTCCGTATTCCCCTAACTCAATTTTGTATGTTTACAAGGCGCCTTTTTCGGCTACTCTCATAAGTTCTTTCACAACATCTCAACATTCCACCTGCTAGCCTTAAACGTAAAATTTACCAAGTTTGGAACAATCTTTCCCAACGTATATCCTATGGTACGGAAACCAAAAACTGCGCTTTCCAAAGGTCCCTTAGGTAAGACGGGGTTATGCCCTCTCCATCTAGTCTTCGCCGCAATGGCAGAAACGCCGACGAGACGGGCTTAATCTGAGAAGCCACGTTCGAATGAGGAACGGGGAGATAAGGGAGCAAGTGCGGCCAAAACGCATTACGGGGGCCACCGGAATAGAGGAGACTATTTCACATCGATGGGCAGTACACCATGAGTAATTCCTCCAAAAAAAAAACCGCTACGCCATTCTAGCTTAGGTGAAACACCGCTTCTGATATTTTATTTACTGAGACACTGCCTCTGATATCTTATTCACAAAACTCACTTGAAAAGAAGAACGCTCAAATAAGGGCAGTGCCGAGGCTTCGACCAAGATACCAGTAGGGTGCGAAAGATTTTTTGTTGGGAAGGGTCTACGACAGCGTGTCTTCCAAAATTTTGTGGTGTTTAGAAAAAAATGCCCCGAAAAAATTTCTTAAGGCCATTTTGGATTTTTGGAATGAATATTCTTGATTGGTAAGCCCAAGAATCAATTACTAATAGCAAAGATGCTCTAGTAACGCACTTTACTCTTCTCCATGTACGCAGTTCTTCTAACTTCGTGCTCACTCTCGAGATTTGCCTCAACCTCAGCATCTGCAATCAAAATAAAACTTTATTGAAAATTCAAAGACACCATCCCCTTACAATGCTCAGCTCCCAGTGGTCTTACAAGTCTCAGGTACGGAAATCTCTCCAGAAGATCTTCTTGGGGTGCCTTGACTGCGACTTCCGCGAGAATCTTGAGAAACAATTAACAAAATATACCAAGATAGTTGCACTAACCGCGCCTACTGGAGTCCTTTTTTCACCAAGAAAATCCGGACACGAAGAAGTTCTATTGCTGAAAGCAAAGCAAGTGATCGCAAGGCAAATATGCGCTAACAAAGTAATATAATGTATCAAACAGCATGGTCTTGATAGGATGACAGGAGTGATGCGTTGTAGCTGCTTGGAAGACAGGATGGCATTCACTTGCAAAACGTTGTCTGTAATGTTTGAGCGTGATAATTTTTGGCAGGAAAAGCAGATATTCCCAAGTATGAGCACCTGTTCAGTTTGGTGAAGAAAGAGCCTATGGAAAAACGATTTCTCGTACCCTCACCATTCCCGTTGTTGGGTGCATTCTCGGCATCACTTTTCTGAAATGAAGAAAGACTTACGGTGTATAATCAAGCAACTTTTCAGTCTTACTCCGCGCTCAGTGCCCACATCGCTCTTTTCTCGTTCTTGCATACTTGATTTCTCCCGATCCTCAACATGCGGACTATCAAACAGAAAGGACGCAGATCTTAAATCAATGGTCGAGTAAATGTCAAAAGACCTAATACACGAAGACAGTTGATTGCAAACACCTTGATCTAGCGGTAACGTCGGTTGTATCCTGCCCTGAATGATGTTCTCGACGAACAGCAAGTGCCACAGCTTGTGCGGCTTGCGCTATGCGCAGCCCCTCATTTTGAGGATCTACTCTTGGTTTAGCGTGACCCATCCGCTCCTAAACAACTCGAGTCTAAGCAAGGCGAACATCCATGCATTCACTCACCGGGGATTGCCGTGAAACCGGCGTCAAACATTCCACTGCCTCTTCTGCTTCCTCGGCTTGCACATTCTAGATCGCTAACCTGTGTTGTACCATATGTTGCAACATAGATGTACCTTACATCATGACTTGTCGATGAGCTGATTGCGTACTCTACAACACGATCACCATGGGATCCTATGGACCCTCTGAATGGGGGAAAACAACTAAAGCCTGAGCAGCTACATACAACTTATGTAGCTTATAAGAAACTTATACAACGCACTTATCGCTACCGAGATCTCTCTTGAAGAAAGAACCAATACTGTTACGTAATGAACGGGTGGGCGCATCCACTGATCGATGGCGCTGAATATCTAATTTGAGCCGACAAAAAATCTCTGATCGAGAAGACTACTCGCCTTTTCGTCAGTAATGACTATTGGCGCCCACTCTTCCTCAGCTACATTCCTCTTTTGTGTAGAATTCCTGGTACTACCACCCGGCGGAGTACTGAGTGCGTTCAGAAGATCATTGTCCGAATCTTCCGCCCTCCAAGCGTCTTTAAAAAGAAAATGAACGAGTTCCAAAAAAGTGATACTGAGACTCACAATCACTCGAAGACGATGAGGTGTGTGAAGCAAACAGCTGTGGAAACACTTCTTGTGGCGCAGCGGGAGGGGACTCGGACTCTGATGAAATGTCAAAGCAATCTGAAGTAATCAGGATAGCCAGTGCGTATGCGATCGGCAACAATGCAGTAGCTTTAGCTTGCCGACTTTCTGTTGATATTTAGAATTATGAGACGAGTGACATACCACTGACTGCATTGAGAGGGATTTTGCCAATTACAATACGACGACAGTCATCCAAAAAATCGTGAGATTCGCGCTGGTGCCATCTAGAAAAATTCAGTAAGCTATAACAAGAGGTAGATTTAAGCAGCAGCAATGCTGTATAGAAAATGACGATAGGAGCACTCCCGGATAACACATACTAACCTCTCTTTCGAAAGTTCCTTATCTTTTCCAACCAGAATCAAATTTGGATGCAATCGCACACCAGCAAGCAGAGGACAAATGACATACGTGGCGATGTCCCTTCTTTTGTTTCCTCCATTTTTATCAACAAAATAGTTTCTAGAACCTCTCAAGCTCAATAGCTCACACGCCTAATGTATACGAGAACATCAACAAATGTGCAAGCAAACCTGAGATATGATATAAAATTTGTGGGATAGACTCCATAGACAGCATGGAAGAATTCGCGAAGAGCAAAGGCGAGGTGCCCAACATCAACTCTATCCCACACGTCGCTGATTCTTCTGCTGTCGAGCATGAGCCACTAAAACACATTTATGTGGAACCGTAAACCTAGAGAGCGACAAATGCGGTTCGGAGGGTGTTCATCCTCATATCTGCTTCGTGTTGACTGATCTTAAATTAGCAGAAACTACTCAGAGCTAAGAGCAATATCTTTAACAGAAGCACTGCGTAAAGTGATACATCCGTAGGTTCCGTCAGAATTTGCAAAAAGCACTTAAAAGCGCTACTCTGACATTCGTTGCGTACCAGCGGCGTACCGTTGTGACGACCAGCGGCGTCTCATCAACCTAAGCAAGCGAGCGGTGTCCCATCACATTACCCCATGCTGTAAGCACAAGCAGTACCCGCACGGGATACGACGCAGTGGTTACAGAAGAGATTTGGCAGTCGTTGCAATCTTCAACTACAGTTCTTGCCGCCACTTACAAGGCATTCGTAGCGGGACCATCTGTGTATTACTCCAATTTCAAAATATGAAGCTGCACACCATGCCATTCATTCTCCTTTTTCTACTCGCTTTTTATAATGAGGGATTATCATGGATTCTGAGGCTACCAGAATGACAACCTCAAGTTCAAAAATTCGATTTGGGCAGCTAATATCTCAAGTTGTATTGAAATCGTTGGAATCGCACTACAGTCTGGCTTGCTGGGAGTGCGCGTTGCGAGTGTTTCGCGGTCACGCCCACGGCCTGCTTCGCTGCTCTCTCCTCAATCTTTTCGCTCTCTGCGACAGCGCGCGTATGCAGCGCAAACCCCTAGCGCTGCGAGCGCGCAAATTCAGCCGACGGTTCGGCCTGATCCCGATTGGGGCAGACTGTATAGTCTATGCACCACGACCAGGGAATGCTTAACGTATATTTGGCTAGGTTTGAATGAAGAAAAATGTTATACATATTATGCAGAACACTACACATGTACTAGTAGAGGAACAAAATCGCTGATAAGGATTTAAGGAAGCGCATATTAGCTCATAAAGATACTCGGTGGTACAATAACGTACACGACGGAAAGATTGCATGAGGTACAAGAGTTGTCAAAGAATAGCACAGATTTCGAGAAATTAGATAACTTTTGATGCACAAGATGACATGTGTACTTCGACCTCTGATGCGATTTGTAATAAAGCAGAAGGTAGTTTGTAACACAAACCAACCTTTTAAGTTGACTTGATATGCGCTTTTTCTGCGTGATGCAAGGCACACCCAACAGCTGCAAAGAGACCATGAGGTGTTTTCTCTATTCAGATCAATTCTGGACCATATCAAGACTCAAAAGTTTGGGTATTGACGTTAAAAACGCAACTACTTCAGATGCGATGTACTCAGCATAAAACAAAGCAAAATAAACCTTTGATTTAGAACCATATAAGCGTCAGAAAGGCCCAAGTGAAAGTTGTGGACTCATAGCAGCATGTATTACGCAGCAGCATTGGAGCTTATCCAAGTAATGTTCGCAAGATACATACCATACTCACTAATGTAATGAGGATCACTGCTCTCCGTTTAGATCACACAGTGATTTCCTCTTCCCACCTCTCACTAATATCATCCCGATCATCGCAAGTTCGCAGAAGCGTCCGCATAGGATGCTAGTCCATTTCCTTTGGATCCGCGCATTTCAAAGGAACAGCAAGAGACCCTTCATTTTCAGGTGGTAGAACCTGTTTTACCAGGCGACGATGCTTAAAGATGACCATTCGCATAGGTAGGTACCGTCTGCACCCCGAAGAGGTTCCCATGTGAACCAGCGTGCGTACGTGGTGCGACGCTGCCTTTCGCTCTTTTTGACACGTTTCTCCTGAGATTTCAACAGAAGTGCCCGAGGTTAACACGTTCAAAAGTGCGAAAGGCAGCGAGATGACGTGGTACCTATGGGAACCTCTCTGGGGCGCAGACGATAGCTATGGAAACTTCGAAATCAGCATCCTTGAATGCAAGAATGCACTATTACTGGAGCAACCTCTAACTGATTGAAACAGACAGGGTCCCGCCACAAATACCCACTGTAGTTGAAAGTTGCAACGACAGCCAAATCTGTTCTGTTGCAGTGGTTGGGCTGCCTCAGCATTTACGTGGCTGGTTAACGCTTCTTGATACTTGACAAGGAATAAGATTGAGTTGGTGTTCTTATTGAGTGACCTGATAACATCTCAGCTGAGTGCTGTAGGGGTGGCTCATAAACCTTTGATTTCGATTCAATGAAGTTCATCGGTCGGAAAAGTAGGATTTTTTTGCACTAAATTCGGCTTCATAAAATTTGTCGATATAGCAATTTCCAAACCAGCTAATGCTGCAATTAGTGCAGTGACCAAAAATCGGACCTTGCGGTACGAAGGCGTACCCTCTTGGCGTACCAGCGGCGTAGCATTCTCCTCCCAGCGGAGTTCCACAGCGTACGAGCGGCGTGCGACTGCCCTACCAACGGCATTTGCGTGTTCCGCTCAGACGAGCATCGAACGCCGCTGGTACGCAGCGAAAGTCAGAGTAGAAAGCGCCCGAGCATGACTTGAACATAATTATGAAGGTGAAGAAATGCTGCCGTTAAAGAATGATTCGAAAACTTCGGCGCTAAAAGTTGCGCGCACCAGAGGTCTGGCGCTAGCCTGAGCCGTTTATTACGAATAAATATGGAGAGACAGAAGACAGATTGTGCAAAACAAACGTACCTTCATTCGATATGTATGACACCCTTCGATAAATGCATGAAAGATTGTATTCAGGACATCGAGTGGCAAAGAAGAGCAGTGTGGCAGAAGAGCAGTCACAAACAAAAGCGCCCCAATGCATTCATCCAACTCCTTTGTTATCTAAGAGCCACTTGATGAGCTGAAGTTACAAGAAGCTTTGATTTGAACGCACCACGATGTGTTGCAAGATTGCTTTAAATACAGGATGAAGCGCAATCTTTGGTGTCCAACTGGGAGCAGTCTGCACTATCTGTCCTTCAATTAATGTTGAAAAATTACTGGTCGAAAAAACTTGACTGCATTACACACCTAGAAGATCCAACGTTGCCATGATCTTTTTTTCTTTTATGGTGTCAGACAACGAATCCAAGAATGTCTGTAAAGAGTCCTCATTAATGGATTTACGAACAGGTAAGCGTCCACCTTATCGTGTGGCTCCTTGATCTTCGACAGCAGATCAAGAGCTCTATTGGAATGAGTCCTTCCATAGTAATGAACAAGCTGATAGATCCCATTACCTGAAAAAAAGGAGGGGTTTTCAATCTGAGTGTCACGGTCGACCGAGGCCTTCGCGGTATCGGGTGCAGTAGTGTACCACGTGGGAGACCCAAGCGATGCGGCTCTCGAGGGAGTGAACCACGTCGACCGTGACACTCAGATTGAAAGCCCCAGTATTTGCTGCGTCTATCCGCGCGACCGTCTCTTTCGACGACATAATTCCCCTGGCACGTGTCTTTCTACAAACTGATTACGAGGGCCCTAACCAAGGACCCATGCGGCACCGTGTTACATCCACGGCCGCGAAATTCATTGCCAGATCAGTTCCCGCTACCGCAGCGGGCTTGCATGGGTACGCATGCTATTGCCCCGTCTTGATGGATCCCCCGCGGAAGCATGCAAACCGATGGCACCGGCCGTACTATTCCAGAAGGTGATTCCTGCGACTCCTGTATTCCCTGCAATTCCTGTGATTCCTCGACTTCCGATGTAGCGCATTATGGAGCGCTTTGCGAACTCCAATACACATTGTTTTTTCGCTATATACATTGTTTTTTCGCTATATACATACCATCTGATTCAATTTGCTTGGCATCGGCAAAGGCGGGGCATCGTGACCTAATTAAGGCTAGGTAATGATCAGAGAGCACTCGCGCGAGAGAGACGCAGGTGCGTCGCGGGCGCGAGCGGCCTCAATTAGATCACAAAACCCCGCCCTAATGGTGCCAAGCCAATTGAATCAAATGTTAGTTGCGGAACCCGCAGAAATCACAGGAACCGCAGAATTACAGGAATAGCATGGCCGGTCCCGATCATGTCGTCTGCCAAATAGGTAATGGGAACACGTGCCTAAACATGGCCTCAAGGCCGAGACGCAGAAACGTTGCGGGACCCAATGTTAATAGCTGCGTGTGTTGTGCGCGCTCTGCATGCAGCTTGAAACCGATGGACTTGCTGATTCCGGAGCGGCTTTATAGACACGAGTTTTTACTTCAAACCTCACTGATTGCTCAACTGGAGGGTCTGCTATTGCAACGTTACAAAATCCACACTTTGCAGGGACGTTGCTGTAAGGCGCCGTCCACAGAGATTGAGGTTGGTGAGATTTTGATGCTATACGATTGCGGGGACACACAACTAAGTAATCGCCCAGGTCTTGCAGCATAAGATGATTTCCTAAGCGACAATATCGTTCCAGAGCGTAGAAGCGGCCCAGGCGGCACCGCTCATCTACGTGGATGGTGGGGAGATGATAAGTCCAGAAGAGGTTTCAGAGTAGACAGGAATGTCGAGAATCTCATCATAACAAAAGACGCGTTCATGACAGTCCTGGATACATCAGAGCCCAGTTTTGAATCTTCACACCGCTCACGTTCACGGGCAGTGCCGCTTAGGCTTCCATTGCATCAAATTTCTTGCATCGGAATTCATCTTCTGCAGCGGGACCTGGGCAATTATTTAGTTACGGGCCCCGCTATTATATAGCTTAATCCCACCAACCTCAAATTGGGTGGATGATGCCTTGGTTCTGGGCACACCTCAGGCGAAGATCTCCAATGCAGTCATTCGACCAAGTGCATAAAGGTCGAAACATCTCACATGGGCGGCGCGTCCGCTCACTCGAGAGTTTGCGAGCGCACGTTGTTGGCAGTCAGAGTTTTTAAGAGAATGTGGAGACCCACACATGGCTCCCTAGCGCTGTAGTACTATAGTAAAAAACGGTACGAACTACTGCGAGGAGAATTCTTGCTGTTCCGGGTAGAGGAACGAACCACCCAGTGGGCACTGCCATCGCGAACTAGTCCTTTGCACGTGCTATGCTATCATATGAGGACCACAGGCGGGGCGTAATGACGAAGTTGTTCGTCTCTTCACCTCACCGTTCGCGTTTCGGCCCAAACTGGGCTGGAGCATGCTGTGATTTCCAAATCGTCATGAGTGAATTGAGTACACGAACCATGTTGGCTTGCTTCATCGTCACTTGTATATAGAAATTATGCGCGCCAGTATTGAAGAAATTGTGGACACCTGTACGACGCATGCGAACGGAATCGCGCATGATAGCAAAAGATGGCAGTTTGTCAATACGCAAGTGTTGTTGCACACAGAGGTTAAAGGCAGCGTCTCGGCAGATTTTGCATTTCCATCTTTTTGCATGTTTTGGGCCTTCTCGACCCATAGATCCCGAATCTGAGCATTAAAAGGGGTGAAAAGGCCTTTTTCGTGGCGTTTTTTTTTCAATTTCCAAAAGGCAGCTCGGACGAGATTCAAGGGAAAGTCGGTAGGCCCGGGCACGAAGACCCTGCTGCCTGTAATTTTGGCTTTGTATACAGTCTGCTCCAATCGGGATCAGGCCGAACCGTTGGCGTAAATTTGCGCGCTCGCAGCGCTAACGGTCTGCGCTGCATGTGCGCGCTGTCGGAGAGAGCAAAAAGATTGAAGAGAGAGCAGAGAAGCAGACCGTGGGCGTGACCGCGAAACCCTAGCGACGCGGTCTCCCGCCATGCCAATTTTGGCCTGGTTGGGATTGGGGCAGACTGTAGCATGTACAATGCGGGGAAGCGGTTGGGGGTCCCGCACTGTCTAGCGGAGAATACTCGTCCGAACAAGGTGTTAGGGGAGCGAAAGGAGGAAGGGTGGCGCTGGGCCGCTTCCCTGGCTTGTAGAGTCCACATTTTCGGCGCGGAGTTGCTGTTTTGGTTCACTTGGAGGGTCTCCTATCCATCTGTGTCAAAATCTGAGGTAGGTCAATCTGCCGAGCCGCTGCCTTTAAGGTTCTGTATGGTACCATGTGATTCAGCTCAATGACCGCAGCGCGATTCTGTTTCGTCGAAATTCTGATTGTCTATATAGTGTTTGCGGCTTTCGCTGTGGATTTTACAAACCTATCAATTTCTAATTATGATTATTTCGTTAACAGAAGGTCGCACCGTGCCAATTTTTTCCAAAGTAATCCTATAGGTAGTTGAAAAGTACCTAGATTGATTTGAAGTGATAATGCTTGTCGAGCATCGTCGGAAACTCGGCTGTCACGGGATTCCAATAAGGTGATTTGCTTATGGATGTCGGTCATACCTCATCCTAGAATCAGAACATAGTTTGAGACGAGGCGGACAAATGTGGAATGTGGACCTGTCAGCATATAGATATGAGCACTATTACCACTGAGAGCTCATTGAACAATCACCACGGTTTGTGTTAAGCTTCACCTATTATTATACGAAGGAACCCTATGGCACCCACTTTGCAATACAGTGAGAGACGGCAAACAGTTGTTGGCAAACACTAGCAACAAGTTGTTTCTTATTCCACCCCTTGCTAAATCAAATGGATTGCACTGTCTTGGTACGTAATCACTGCGACTAAGAAAATGCGAGGCTCGAAATACTGAAAAATACCCTAATTTCACGAGTATAGGACGCACCTTTTTTTTTTAATTTTTCAAGCGAGCCGCTCAGCCGTCTCGCTCTACTTCGTAAACGAAACTTACGCCGCATGGTACTCTCAGACAATATGCAGCACTGTATATATTTCTGGCTGCGAAGTCTTTCGGCTTGTCTCCGCTGTTCGTTTTTAGAAGAAATCCCTTGCGTTCTATTTTAGAGAAAAAAAATCCCTCGCGTCCTATACTCGTGAAATGGGGTAGAAGCCACTTGCGCATGAAAAAACATGAGTGTGACGAGCTACAAGTAGTGTAAGGGTCTTTTTGAATGAGAAGATCGTTAGGATGAGATCGAGTTACTCCAAATGTAGCGTTTGCCGCATCCTGATTTTTGACGGTTCTGTTTTTTGGCGTACCTCCAGCAATCACCAACGCAGCCGCGACGCTCAAATTTGCTTTCGAGCACAATACCATGCACCCTTGATTGTGTAGGTTCGCTGATTCAACTCTTCTAGTCTTGCAAGACGGGTGCCTGGTTTCAGGATTATGTTAGTGAGAACTGCACCAAAGATACACGTATCAGCCATATACATGCACTTTTTTTGGATTTTGCCTAGTTATACAATGTTTTTCATATAATCAAGATTTTGAGAAGATTGGCAGGGGCTTACCAAACTAACTTACGGCCATTCCGCCTTAGAGCTTATAAATAAGAAATAGAAAATTTTTCATCGGCTATAAATTTGTATAAGGGCGGAGGCGTAGTAGCTCGAAAGCACCGTCCACTAAAACTGAGATCATTAGACTTTTATGCGGCACTTAGCGTGGCTCCTACTACAAGTTCCAACCCAGATTAAGCGGAGACTGTATTGACGGGCGTCCGTCTCACGACATCGCGCCGTTTTGCAGCTACAGTATAAGACTTATTCGAGACGCACAATCTACAGTCGATGCTTGTTTGACAGTGGGGTTTTTTTTTCAGGAACGGGAAAACGAAACTAGCATTTTTGGATTCTTAACAATAACACTCATAAGATTCGAGTGGAAGCAGCACTAACTTACGAGATCGAGTGAAAGCAGCACAAACTGAACTACATATTCGTATACTATCCTTTTTGCTCATGTTGTTATATTGAGAAAATTGTTCGTCTTGCAACAACTCGCAACATAGCTATCTAGTGTTCGGTCCATCTCTTGTGTGTGTTTACTCTTCTTGTTCGTAATGGTAGGCTGTTCATTTTGGTTTGATTGCATTGTTGCATACGCGGAACGGTCTGGTTATGTTATTTTTGTTTATAGAATAGGAATTTGGAGTCAATATCCGAGTACTCGGAAGCATCACAAGTGAAGCACCATCGAAAATAACCCAAACTAGGTATGATCGTCTCCACGATTCATGTAGAGGTGTATTGCAGACTTTGCCTGACAACACAGGTAAACTTGTTAAACCTCCACGTCATAGCATTGTTTTTTGTACTCTCTCGCTATCAAAAACCGCCATGCTTTGAGTTGGCAAAACCCCGCCTCTACACGAATCGTGGAGCCGATGATACTATTCAAGTTTTTTTTACGGCGTTCATACGGCCACCCAGCGTCACGCGGGCGCGCTGCAATGCCGCTACGGCACGCCACACCGGCGCGCGATCGCTGCCACTGGCTGGCCGCCCGTACGGAACCAATCCCTGAGTGCAGTCGGTTTTATCCCGGAATAGGCGGAACGTTGTACCTGGAGCAGCGCATGCGCACCATTGGAGGTTTCGCGAGCGCTTAGCGTTGGCATTTTGCCAAGTTAGCTAAAAAGAATGACGAGACGAGGAATTGGGTTCTTACCGCTATATGGCGAGACGACGAGAACCGTTGCGAGGCGGACGCCCTGCAGTCCAATTTCCGCCTAGAGCGAGTCGAAACTTACTGTACTGTCAATATCGTTACACAATTGCTGATACCCTTGGTCTGCGTCTCAGACCTCCACGTGTGGCTAACATGTTGGCAATATGTTGGCAACAACATGTTTGCGACATGCAGCAACATGTTGGCAGAAATTTTGGCTATTAGCCTCAACGTCAACATGTTGCTGCTTGTCGCAAACATGTTCTTGCCGACATTCCCAACATGTTAGCCACACGTGCCAGGTCTGAGACGCAGACCAAGGGTGGCAGCAACTGTGGAAGGGACGATAGTTGCGCCCACATTATCGGTTTATAGTGGAGCAGCACGGCAGACATCAATGACTTGACGTAATCATGTTTGCATGCCTCTCAGTGGATACCCCTAGTATGCTGGACACGTCGTTCATGATATTGGTGGCGAATCTATGGTGGACTTGCCGTAAGGACAAATCGTTCCAGTCGAGAGGAAAGTATAGGGTGCATACGTGTGCAACGGGGGAACATGGCCTCTCCAGGGTGAAGGGGGTCATAGGGGTCCCGCCTCTCCAGTGGCCGTATTCATCAACAAACCCCGAGGGTTAAACTAACCCTGGAGGGTTAGTTTAACCCTGGAAAGCGTTTAATCCGTATTCATGAAACACAGGGTAGGCTTAACCCTGAGGGTTAAATCTAACCTTGAGGGTTAATTTTACCCCGAAAGCGACTAACCCGTATTCATCAACGAACCGTGAGGGTTAAACTAACCCTGGAGGGTTAAACTTACGTGATCATCAGGGTTAATTTAACCCTAGCTCAGAGCAAGGTTAACTCTATCCTAACACTTCATACAAACATTTACTCGCATCTAATAGTTTATGGGAAACGATCAACGAGTATTGTAATATTTAGTACTGGTTGTTGTTATGGTATTTAGTCTCCTTCGTTTTATGTTCATATTCGAAGTACATGAAACACTGACTTCGCGAGAAAAAGAATTCTAGCTTTGGTGACAAATGAATGCGACGAGGAAAAATGGTATTCCACTCTGACAAGTGCCAAAACAGAAGAACCCCTTTATGATAACACGCATTGACCCCTAAAAGAGTAGCACAAGCCCGGTATAAAACGAACTGCGCAAAAGTAGAACTTACACTGCACAATTGCACACATGAAAATAAACTCACGCTGTAAGATTGGATGCTGCACAAGTATGTTAAAGATGTATTATAAAAACTAGTGTTAGAAGCTTATTCGTTGACTATACTACTATAACAGTGAAAGAATAGAAGTATAAAGTGAATTTAGCACGTATGTACTTAGCCATTCTAGTACTCTGCGTTGATACCACTGCTTAACTGACGCCTTAACCCTCCAGGGTTAGTTTAACCCTCAGGGTTGATGAATACGGCCACAGGTTCGTTGATCGATACGGGTAGATCGCGTTCCGTGGTAAAAGTACTCTGCGTTGATACCACTGCTT